TTTTAAAATTCAAGTGGTTAAAATAACCCATGATACTGTGAGACATTCACTGCAACACATAAAAACTATGATATAGCTCCATAGCATTTTTGTAATCCCATAAAAATCTGAATTTTGCCTTTGTTATTTTAATGTAGGTAGCTTAGATGCCTATAAAGCAATTACATTTACAGCCAATTTATAATGTGTACCAGTGGCCTGACACAGTGGAAATATTTATATGGTGTCTGGCAGATAAAAGAGCAAATGCTATTCCTTTTCACTCCGAGTGGTATTCCCAGCCCTATCCAGAAGCCTTATCAAATAGATGTCTTTCACAGCGTGCCTTGAAGCTACTTTGTACAAAGAGAGGGTAGAAGGAGGAGGAAATTCCAGAACTGAAGCATGTGCCACCTTTTCAGATTAAAATTCCTGGTCAGTACAGCAAAATCACAGCCAGAAGTCCCTTATCAAAACTTCTGCTCAATATCTACCTTGCAAAAAAGCTCACTTAACCCTAAAATTTATGACATCATAAGCTAAAAAACCTTGATGTCAAAGATGACCACTGTAAAATATGAATTGGCCAGAATAATTTCCATAGGAATTCTTCTTTTTTCCTGCCAAACTGATAACACTGAACACGTTTAGTGCTGCTGCATGTTTAGGTGCATATTAATACAGGGCACCATAACAAGTATTGCGAGCTCCTCCAGAGCCACTGCTGGAGGAAGAAGAGTTAAAAACCCGAAGTTTGAGGATTGTTGTTCACTACTAATCTGGTGGTGACCAACAGTCACAGTGTTGGTACTATTCTTGGGAAGTCCAGAAGTCAGCTGACCTACTTGACTCGTTTCTCTTTTAACTCCTGCTGAGTAGCAACTCCACTGTCACAGCTATAAAGGTTCTTAGCCAACTGCAGAGTAGGACTTCCACTGAAGCCATAATTTCTACTTGTATCAGAGAGTAAAGCTCACTTCTGCATAAATTATAACCTTCTTATAAAATCAGATGTTAAAAATGCCTAATTAAGTTCTGCAAATGGGAGCAAAGGAAATGGAAGTAGGGGAAAATACGTAAAACCTTTGGTTGTTAGATTTGATTTAAAACATTTTTAGAACTAGATGTGAATTTGCAGATTCTTGAAGAAGTCCTACTTCTATTTACATTAATTGTAAAACTAATTCTCTTTTAGAACTGAAGTTTTGAGGCATGCATTTTTGGTAATTTTGTGTTTCTTAGGAATATGGGCTTCAATTAAATTGTATATAATATTATGATTTCTACAGTCCTACTTCAAGGCATAAAACTAAGCAAATCATAATAGAAATCTACACAAAAACATGAAAAGCATCTTACATATATATTAAATTCATACACAATAAATATATCCAACTTGATGAGTGTTTGAGAAAGAGAAAAATCCACTGATTCCCGAGGTGCACTTTTGGCTATTGTTTCCCTTTTCTGTAGCACATCAGCTACTTGGTAAAATATAATGAATTGGTAAAATATAATGTACTGTACTTTGGGCTACTTCCTGGCAGTTTGTATTGACTGAAGTATTTATTTAATATTTAATCATCTTCTGAATGAAACGCTTCCACATGTATTTAGCAACATCTCTGAATGCCTTACATATGTACTACACATTGCTGCAAAATAAAAACAGTGGAGTGAGACATTCTAATCTTAGGAAAATGCAAACAACAGAAGGATTAAATTTTCTTAACTATTCTTTTCCAAGGAGAAAATAAAACAACTTGGCAAGCATTTTCAGGAATGGAAATGCTTTTAAGCTGCATTAGTAAGGCTAAGTGAAGGGTTTAAACTTCTATGTCAATACAGAACTGCACATTTGGTTTAGGAATATGACTGAAATCACAGTAAAATACAGCATCTGTACTTCACGCAGGAAACACTTAAAATCCCCAAAGTTAGGAGTCTGTACAAAGGAAAATAATGATCCCGATAATCAGAATCTGTGATGCTGGTGCCATGAGCAGGAAGAACATGAAATTAGAATTTGTATTCCCTCCCCTCTTTTGTGTTTTCTACAGTCAGCCTCCCACTAGATATAGTTGAACTAACTGAGTTGACAGTTCCTAGTCCACGGACACAGATGGGGCCCATCCGCCTAGCTAAGAGGCAGCACTGTGCAGCCTTCTGAGACAGGGAGCACTGCAGGGCATGCACTATGCACTCCAACGTCTGCTAGATCGAGCAGGGTCAGAGCTGACCTGGAGGTAACAATGCCGCCACATCCAGGGCAGCTCTCTGCTGAGACACCAGGTTAGCTATTCACCACATTTCATCAACACATCCCTGCCACCTAGGTATCTCAATTAACCCTGCTGTTGAATGCTCCACCTTGCAATACCCTAGATAACTCTGTATAGAGCAGAACACCACAGGTCAATCACAGTGCTTGGGGCCTGAAAAATGATGAGTATTGAAGAGGATATGTCCTCTTCCTGGCATTGCTACCAACCCTGAGGCCTGAGCAGTGTCTGGCAGAGCACTGCCTACAGCCCTTTCTGCCGTGTGCCGTGCTCCATTCGGTGCAGCAGTTCCACTGTACAGATACTTGGCAGACAGTCACTGCCCCTTTCCTAACATGGACACGCATCCTCTGGGGTTACCACTAACAACTTTCATAGTCTTTCTTGAGCTCAGAGTCAGGCATGAAAACACCAGAGCTTATTGCTGAGATACTGAGGAGGAAAAACTCAAAACACTGCTCACCCTTGACCCCTACCCCCCCCTCCCCCGCCAAAAAAACAACCAACCAAACAAACAAAACCCCGCAAACCACGAAAACCACACAAACTCAAAATGAAGAAAAAACTCTCTTTACCCCTTGCTGAATTTAACAAGTCTCCATAATGACAGCTGTAACTTCTAAGGCCATAATTTGCAATATAGCTCTCTGTTTACAAATATGTAACCAAAATATCTCTATTTGGCATAGCAGAACACAAATGTATTAAACCCTACAGTCAACAGATCATGTGACAATTACCAAAAGCACAGAAAACACTTGTCATCTCTGTTACTTAAATCACACTAAAAAAATACTACTCATGAAAAAAAATTCTCCTCAATGAGCTGTGTGTCCACAGTCAGATCAATGTCATTTTAGCACTGAAACAAGAACAGCAATTTTACCTCTCTAGATGGAGCATATTCAAAAAGTTGACCCTTTCAAAAGTGTTTTAAACAAGGGAATAGAAGGGGAAAAGAGGTAAGATGAGAACAAGGAAAAAAGAAGGAAAAATGTGAAAAAATCTGAAGGGAAATTCCATGTTTCCTAGATGAGGTCTTTTTTTTTTCTTCTTACTATAAAACTAGGTCTCCTGGATACTCTAATAAATGGATTTTTATCATAATTTAGTACATTAACAACTACAAATTGGCCTTACACATTACAGTTTCTCACATCAGTCCCTCCTGAGAAGACATTAGTACAGACAAATGGCTCAGGAGGTAATCCATTCACACTGGGAAACAAATTATCCCATAACAATATCCGCACAGCAAAGCTATTACAATGTAAACATCTACTGTGTAATACAAGTACTTAAAAAAAAATAAGAATGTTGCTGAATCAAGACAGGTTATAATCATGTTCCTTAAAAGTACCATTTTATTATCAAAATTCAGAAGATATCACTCTAGATCTCTAACATCTTCATACTTAAGTAATTTTATATCTAAGTAACACTGTCAACCTAAATGGGATTACAAGAATGTGTTTGCTTATTATTTTGAATAGAACTACGAAGGATTAGGGCTACAAATCCCTTATTTCCAGAAATGTAACTGCTTAACCAGTCATAAATTAAAATATCTTAACAGTAACATTTTACATGATCTTCAGAAAGAATCACCATTTTAACAATAATCCTGTCTTTTTCTTTTGAGTAAACTGTGTTTACTGCTTACAAAGTTAATCTTTTATTCTAAAGATTTAAAGATTTTATTCTTCTCATAAGAGTTGGTTATTTTGCAAACATATCTCTTTTGATGTATAAACATCATGATGACTAACAAAAGAGAAAACCTCAAAATTCTTGGTTTTATGAGAGCTTCAACAACAGAATTCCTATTTTCCTAACAGCTACACATGTTAGGGACACCAAATGTTCCTGGTGGAAAGAGGAGAGCAGGTTAAGGACAAGACCTTTCCCCTGTTACAGTAAATGTGTCAAAACAGAGGCCTGTTACCAAATAAAATACTTCTAAGCCTATACTTCCCGAGAACTCCATAATGACCAATTCCCACTGAACAGAGAGAAGGACAGAAGGACCATCAGAGCTCAGAAAAAAGCATCGGGATGACATCACTGCTTGTCTGCTAGCCAGGAAAGGAAGAGAGGGATTATCCAAATAGTGAACATCTGGATTGTGTATATAAAGGCAATGAAGTATTTTTATACATATTAGTTCACCGAGTTCCACTGAATTTTTATCTCACAAAGAAACAGTAGTGCTACGATACGCTTTTATAATGAAAAAGCAACACGAATTCCAGTGGTCTGGGTTAGTGTATTAAAAGATATACAAACAGATTTATCATTCACTGCTTCTTTACTATATTAAAGGAAAAAAAAAACAGCAGATACTTGAACTTATAACTCTTTTTAGTTAAAACAATGTAGTTTGATAACACTGGTTTTCTTCAGGGTTTCAGATACAAAGACTAAGTGACATGAATCTGATCACAATGAAGTTCAAATCATTCAGTTCTCCACCCCAGTACCATAAAGACTGCTTTCAAAAAGTCTTACGTGTGAAGTGCTTCAATTTCTTAAGAATACAACTCAAATGAAATTTATATATATTTTTTTTGGTTGGTTGGTTTTTTTAGCAACACAGCATAGAGTTCCTGCATGAGTCGTAACTCTAGTAGTTGTGTATAGACTCAAATAGTTTGCGTAACTTTATAAAGTTGCCGTGCAAAAAAAAAAAAAAATCAACTTTATTCTAGGCTGGAGTACTGTGCAAAGAAACATTCTTACCTTGAACTGTTAGAGTTGCTGATGCTTCAGCTTTTCCAACCATATTTTCTGCAACACAAGTATACGAGCCCATGTCTCCTGCCATAACTTTCCGGATTTTCAAGGTATGATCATCACGGATTTCATATCTTTAAATACACAAAGTTATAAACAATGAATAGGAATAAAAGAACTTTGTACAATTTCGGTAAGGGGCAAAAATATTGCGGGTTTTCTCTCAGATACATTTATTCCTACAGTTCCCTTAGAAATAAAAATACATATAAATAATTTTAAATTGATAATATAAAAAAGTTTTAAAAGCAAAATACATCTAAATACTAGAAAACCTTATTCTGATTCCATTTGCAAAGTCAGTCAGTTTTACTCATGACAGTAGAACTTCACTGGTGTAATACAATCATAAAGCCGTAACGCAGAACATTTTAATTGTTAGAACTCTTTTAACAAGTAAATGTAACAGCAGTTCTTATTCTCCCCATTATTTTTTCCATCAGAATGATTTTTTAATATGGTTGAAAAGAAAATGCTGTTCTCAAGAATATCAGAATTTCTTGAAAGATAAATTACAATTCATTAAATATTTTTTCTTTTAAAGAACAATGTGGCCTTTTCCCATTTCCTCTCCTTTCATCACCTTTCTTCCTCTTCTTTGTACAATGCAGTCAATGTGTTTCTCTTTATGGGAAATGGATTTTTCTTTTAGAAATGCTATAATTTTTCTTAAAGCTATAGAATAGGTTAACGGGAAGCTGGATTTGGATGGTCACAGCCAACTATTACAGCGTTTCTTCTTTAAAACCCCTCCTCTAATAGGTTTTTAACTGTTAATTGGGAATTCAAAGTAAATAAAAAAATAAGGCATCTATCTACCTGTGTATCTATGTCTCTATCACAGAAGCATTTCTTTTTCATAAGGTTTTTTACTTTTTGGCCTGAATTAGAATAATGACAGAAATAAAAAGTTAATTGGAAGCTTAGTAACAAAAAAATGTGTAACCAAGGACTACATTTATATCAATTGTAATTCCAATATATACTTCTTGAAGTTGTAATCTAATTTACTATTTGTTATACATTCTCTAAAACTTTTAGTAATTACAAAAGACTCTTCAGGCGATGAATTAATCTCTGTCAGATACTACTGACTGAACTTAAGTTATTTTTGTTGAATTTGTCATGTCACATCAAAAGCTTGAGAACAAGCTGTTCTTAAATTTCGGTATAAATTATAACCTCAAATAGAGCTCAATAGTAAATAGAAATGTCTTATTAGATCAAATCAGGCCTTCTCCATTGAAGAAAAAAAAAGGTCTAATATTGAATGGCTACACCATATACCAAAAGCCAGATGTCATAAAAAAGGTAACTCCATGTACTTCACCTTGCTTTTGGTAATTCCCCATCATCTTTCCTCCATCTTACTGTAGGAACTGGGTCACCTCTTGCCTCACACTTAAACTCTGCACTATCATCCACAGTCACAGCCAAATTACTTGGTCTCTTCACAAAAGATGGTCTCTCTACAAGGAAAAGAAAGGAAAAAAGGGATTAGCCCAGCAGTTCTGTGCTCGAATGGCAATTTTCCCTTAACTGCGGCTGTTAGAGCAAGGGGAACAGGGTGACAAACCCAATGGAGGTTCCTCAGCCACCACTTCTGGCTCCCAGCCCAGGCAGAAGATCCATAGGCCTGTAGATGGCCAGCACTGTGAAACCCAGCACAGAAGGCAGACACTCTCAACAGTAGCTCAGGATCCAAGCACAGACTTCCTTATTTCTTATGTATCACTGTCACAACTAATACCGCTAAAGGAAAACACAACATACACAGACCCAGCACGGTATCTCTATAAGGCTGCTTGCAGGTGTCAGCAGCAGTTAGTGTTTGATGCAATTATTTCCAATTCTACATGAGAAAGACAACATTTTCTTTCACTAACACACATAAAAGAAAACAACACACATAAGGAAGAAAAGTGTTTTTAACAATTTCTGCGATACTCCAGGAAGGATTACCCATCTAGAAAAGAAGCACAAGAAGACAACAGGATATCCATAAAAGAACATAGAAGGTTTAACAGGACAGTGCTTGGCAGGTTTGTTTGCCAAAGGCAAATGATCTTTTTGCCTATAAACCTGTGAAAGCTCTGAGAGGGTTGAGAAGGCACTTGCATGTTTTGACTTCTATGTATTAAAGATAAAAATATCATCTTCCTGGAACTGGAATAGTCTGAAGCCACTGGCACAATCAGGAAGTGTGAATACCCAAAAATATGCCACAAATGTCTCATGGGAGTACAGAAGCAGAAGACAGAAGCATAAAGGGACAATCCCATATTCTTAGTGTCTCACATATGTGTTTGAAAAAGGTAGTTCTGAATATTATTTTGACTTTGAAGACAAAGATATAGAGACTCAGCATTATAAAACCTTAGTGAATGGTTCAAAAAGGACTGAAGTGGAAATGTGAGCTGAACAAAATCCTATAAAAGTTCTTACTTTATTCTCGAGGATGTCAAGACCAACTGGACACTTTTTTTGTAGAAAAATTGTCTTTGCTTGCAATGCCAGGCAAATAATGTTATATGAAATAGCAAGTTGATCTTTAAGCTGTCAGGTCTAGCCTGAGTTCATATACAAGAAGTGAGAAATAAAACAGAGACCTAGAGCCATGAATCTAGCTGTGAATTAAAAAAAAATACAAACATAGACATTCTCCCCTGCCCTGGCCCCTTTCTTGTAGGTGCAGCAAAAATGCATTCAGAATGCAAAAAAGAACACTTTGGATTAAACTTCACAGTAAGAATAGTTTGGGGAAGAATATTCAACTTAATTATGCAAGAAAAAAAAGACTGATCTGTAAGGCCAGGACTGCTGCACAACAGCAAAACCCACAAAAGGCACACTGTTCTCTAGATCAGTTTCCTAAAGGAAGAGTAATAGCGCGAGAGCTTTTGTCTGCCCATTCATAACACTCTTATTCAAACGCATAAACGGGTAAGAGAAATCAGCACTGATTTAAGTATCTATCTTTGTCACACGATTATTCGGTAAATACAAGGAAAGCTTAGCAAGGATCACTTTGAAACTGTCTAGTATTACAGTTTCTGGCATGCAATCCTGTCTCTGATCTAAAGCAGGGACCTAAAAGCAAAAGTTCAACTTCTAAATAACCAAAACCTATAAACAGAAGATTTATGTTGAAAGATTTTAATATATGAATTCAGCATGTTCCTCATGCTTTTTCACACATATCTAAGGCCTGTGTTGAAAGTATGAGGTGCGTTAAAGACTTCTAGACACAGACTGCTAAGATATTCAAAGCTTTTCTGTTCTGCCTGAAAAGAAAACCTTACTAGTTTTCCCAGGCTGAAAACCAGAAATATGTTTGAAAGGAAAACAATATGAAGGAAAAGACAAAGACAGACCTCTGTCAGTAATGCATCTCTCTTACAGGTGTGCAGGAAGTGAAATATTTTCCAGGCTGGATTATGTAACACTTCATACCATGATTCCCTGGTCAGTAGTAGTGATGAGCAATTAACTGGTAGAGTTAACTAGGACTTTACTCATGTAAGTACGACGTTCATACAGTTCTAGATTTTGCATGGAAGTTCTGAAAGTCTATTGGACAATAAATTTTCTTCCTAAAGTGCTTCAAAGGGGTCTATATATGATTAAAAAAAAAACAAAACCAGAAGCAAAACAGTATAGTGGATCACAGGAAGTCTTTCTTAACTTCTAAAAAGTTACACTCTATCTTGCTGGTTATTCAGTTCCAAAAACTTTAAGATGGCATATAATCTCATTTTAGTAAGGAAAACCCTGTTTCAAACAACACTTTGAGCAGGACGTCAAGTAGCCCGAGTTCTAACTCTAAAAAGTAGTGAAGATAGAGAAAAGTGCCAAAGACTGACAAAACAGATCTTAAATCTGATTTAAATACAAAACAAAAACCAAACAGTAAACAAACAAAAAACCCCAATAAACTCAAGAGCCAGGACTACTGCAGCAGTACTGTGATGGAAAGCAGTGAACCACAGTTATGAACCACAGCTTGGATATTCTCATCCTGTGATGATAAAATACCTATTTCCTCTGCAGAAATAACTAATCTATCTCAAGCCTCCCCTACTTTAAAGTAACATGGGGTGAATTTTGAATGAAAACTACGGAAGCTGCATCTACAGTGATCATGAGGCAATTCTCCCACGCTGAAGGAATTCTGAGATTGCATTTGAAGTTACAGCAATTTTTCTGCAATAGCAAGAAAAAAATGCAATTTTCAGCTAAGCTCAGTTATCTTAAAAGAAAACATATTTCTTGATGCTCAGAGGAACTATCATTAGGATCACCTGAACAAGTAGACCTGTTGCATCTTTACAACACTCAGTACACACAACTGTAAATGAAAGGATAATTATTTAAAAGAATTCTGATTTTCTTCAACAAGAGGGAAAAAATTGTAAATTTTTGGTTCGCTATTATGTTATAATACTGATCAAGTCAGTGGACACTGGAATTATTTTCAGTTCCAGAACTAAGACAGTGTCTTCTGATAGCAAAAAAAGTCTAAAGTGGATTACAAAGCCGTTAACTGCCATCCATTTGCTAAAACACAACCATCACAAAAAACATTTTCAACATAAACACTGAAAAGGAAATAAATGAGAGCGAACCTTAACAAAAAGCTTACTAGGAAAAAAAAAGTTGGACATTTTCATTAACACAGTCTTAAATAAAAAGTTCTTACCTAAAACAGTGAGCTCTGCAACTTCACTTTCACGTTCTCCAACCATATTTGTTCCAACACAAACGTATTTGCCAGCATCATTCTTTCTTGTGTATGTGATCATGAGCTTTCCTCCTCTGATCTAGGAAAAACCAAGGACAATAAAAATTACTTTAATATGAAATAGTGATTTATTAACTTGAAAAAGGGTTTGTTACAGATAAAGAAACAAAACAAGCTATCAGTGATTTTCCAAATCATATAAAAAGTGAAAAAAGACCCTTCTACTATTAATGTAATTTCCTTCTCTTATGCAAAAAGCTTGCCTCTTAGTTTTACATCAGTATTTTAAAGTCTCCCAAATTTGGACCCCTACTACTCTTTTCTTCCTTCTGCATGATTTAATACTGGCAGTTGCACTGCCTGTTTAATGCTTGTTGGCCAGAAGGACATCAATTCCTTCCTGTGTATTACTGCAGTTTGATATAATGAGGTGGAGAGTAAAAACTAGCACTGGACATAAATCCCATTTTTACATCAAGTGCAGCAATTACCTTTTCTTGACAAGAAATGTGTGTATGTTATCCTACCATTGGTCATGTTTGTTATTATTCACAGAATTTGTGTTTGTTTTGGGTTTCGTTTCTTAAGGAAGCAAAGGAAATTTTTTATTCTTTAGTTCTTCACCATTAAATAAATAATTTTAAAGGCTGATAAGCACATGGGCAAAAGCAATTAGATTATTACTGGAAAATTAATAACATTCTACTCTTAGTTCTGAATTCAGTTTTTCAAAGATAATAGAATTCCAATAACCCCAAAATTAGAAGACATACTTCCACTTTGTGATTCCCAATCTTATTATTTTGTATAAAGATATGTATTAAATGCATATGAAAATATCTGATCTCCCTTTGAAAGTATTTATTCTCCCATTTAATTCACAAAACGGTTCAACAAGTTTCAAAGCCCACCAAAATGCAGCAAAATTTGTGTAGGCAACTGAATACATACCGTGTTTAGTTTAATATACAAAAAAAGTTACTTAATTACGTTAATTACATTTTAAAGTGAATATATGATTGTAAGTCCAATTACATATGAAAACCACTGCAGTTCAAGGCATTCGTGGAAGTACACAATAAATAAAAGCCACATATTAAGCTACATGAAAGGGTCTAATGTGGTCAGTGACAAGGAGGGGACTGTTCTCAATATGAGGCCTTTTGCTCAAGTTGCCTGCAGCTAGAAATCTATCCCTGAAAATCTGACATCTTGAGCAGTGTTGGGCTCTTATTATCATTGTAAGATGTATACACACAAAGATGACAGTCAGTTATTGAGATAAATGAACATGCACGTGTAACATAGATAGCGTTGCATACAAATTTCATTCTGTTGCCTTTGGCACTCATTGTTTGAGAACAAGAAAGTTATGTCCTTTATCACCCAGAAATCTCGTAATGCTGAAATTTCAATGGGAATTTGAAGCATGAAGAATGAAAAACTAAAAGAGCAAGTACTGCAAGTACACATTTTTCAAGAATCTGTGTGAGTTTTTAGATTGTTGACTGCCCGAACTGCTAAGCATGAGAGGAGAATGCAAAATATAGAGGTGTATCTCTATTTATTCCTGTTTTACATCTCCCTAAATCACAGAAAGCTATTTATTTCCAATTAACCCACGTAGAGCATTTTAAAAATCAATTTTAGAAAGATTTCCACATGCATTTTAAGGTATTTGTATATCCAGGTAAATATGCAGACATATGTATTTCTCATGTATTACATATCACAAGAATTTATTAACTCAGCTGATTATTTCAAACCCACGTAAACTGAAAGCAGTGATTTTCTCACATTTTAAGAGCTTATGTCCTATTGACATTCAGTAGCACTTGTGCTCCTCTGTGATTTTAGCACTTACGAAAATCCTATTCAAATTTATTACAACGACACAACTGTACATTTTGCACAAATTGTAACCTCCAGCAAGATTCTTCTAGGAATCACCACAAGATTCAATTCAAAGCATACATGGAGAACAGCATTAAAGCAGAAATATTTGAACAACTAAAAAATCATTGAAAACTGCTTTTCTTCCAAGATATTTGAGGTTTACTTTAAGAAGGAGAAGCAGAGGAAACATTCCCTCATGGACTTTGAGGCAGACTTCCAAAGATGTGATGTGCCTCCTGAAGGACGCTGTGCTTCCAAGATGGAATTCTGAATGCATTTGGGTTTTTTTTCCTAGGAGTTTTCCTTTCTTGATCTTGTTTGTTTGTTTTTCTTAAAACAGAGTTTAGAACTTTAGCTACAATGATGGCTATGCCACATTAAATTGTGATGAACTACACAGTTACAGTAAAATGTACCATTAGTGCATGTGGAATTACACGTCTGTAACTAGAGCAATGGTTAGAAGAAAGCATGCTGCCACTGTTGGGTCACTACCCAAATTACCCATTAAATTTTAACAATTAGCTACCCATTATCTCAGTAAGATTGATCAAGCCCTTCTACTTATTAACAAGATATTGCAAATAAAATCTGTAGTTATGACAAATTTATGTTCTCCATGTGCAATGTTTGACACTTTTTCTTTCAATAGGAAATCCTAGAAATACCTCTGGACTGTAGATCAAGGGCTTTAAGTAACATAGTACACAATGAAATAGATGCATGTGAATTTTTGTAGGAACACAAAGAATCACTGCTACATTTCTTTGTCTTACGAAATTCATAATCAGTAAGTCCAGTACTGTAAATTCATACCCAGTATTTAGAGTTGTAAAGAGCCAAATCACCTTTGGGGGCAGTGTCTGAAATCCTGCAAATTAGAACTATTCATAGTATCTGGATACTTAAGTTAATCAAGGCATTTAAATTTGAGTGCTTTGGCTCTTCTCATATTTGTGCCCATGCCCCAGAATACACCAGCTGGACTTTATAGTAGCAAATGATATAATGGTTTGAAAAAGTGACAGGCAGTGTAACATTTCATCCCAAACCTCCAGAAGAGTTATTACTATATTGAATACAAAGAGAAGTCCTTTCTTCCTAGTAAACAAGATATAGCAAACAGTTCTATTACACTGTTCTGGTAGATACTGCATATCATGGGAAAAGAATTGCTTTGCTAACTGCCAAAGTTTTAAGTCCAATTTTGAAAAGATGGAAGTAAGTATCCTGTTTCATTTATTCAAAAATGATGCCAAGATACTTTTTGACTTATCACACCTCCTCAGGATTTTGTTCTATTCTGTGCATACCAGCAAATTTATCAGGGCTGTGCAAGTAGAGAATACAAGAATAGCACTGGATACTGAGGAGAGAAAAAGACTGTGATCCATGGTTCACAGATGATCTTCAGTTGCCTGCAACACATATGGATTATTCTATGTACGCTAAGAGAATATATGATAACACGGTGACTTACAAAGACATACTGAAAGCTATTTGCTATGACCTGCCTGCCTGACCATATTTTGCTCCTCATGAGTAAATTGTTCATTCAAGCAAGTCGACTTCATTTATTTCTTTAAACAATAGTTGGAGATGTTCATGCAGAAAACTTTAGGCACCCACAGAGTTAACTAGGTCCAGAATTGTAAATGATGGCCACCCAGCAGCAAAAAATCATATACAAATAATGAATCAACTTGGTCAACCAATAAATCAAATCCATAAAAACTTACCCAAGGGTTCTACAACATACCACCAAGTATTCAGTATAGCTGTATGCATATATATACTTATTCTAAGATCATATTTTATATACCTATGTGTGTTGTGGGTGTGTATGTAAATTTCTGTATGTATAAATCCATCTTCATCTGTCTCTGTTAAGAAATATTTTTATATATGTGGGTGATTCATTTACTTTTCACAGAAATGTGCTATGAAATATGAGAAAGAATGAAGCCATGAGAGAAATGTTTGAGACTTCTAAATATAAAGGTGACTGGCCTTTTTTTTACCTTTCTTTTGCCTCCTAGTTTCATTCTATTTTATAAATGAAATCTGCTCTGTTGCAAAATAATTCTAAAGCAAACTTAAATCCATAAGAAAACAAAATTTATGCTGCAGACTGAAATACTGACCTGTGCTTCTATAGTCAGGGTTTCTGTACATGTAATATCACAAATTTCACATATTTCAGTCTTCTACAGTACAGTGTACAAAATACCAAATTTTATTTAAATGAAATGTGACGGGCATGTGATATTAACCTGTCAGACATGGTCTTTGCTTTAAAAGCCTAATATCTAATTATAAATGATGATAAAACAGTTAAAGAACAAGGTGAGTACAGGCAATTATAATCAATAGTGGCACCAAGGATAGATACAAGTAAAATGGAGCTTATATTTCTTAGCTAGGAGACACAGAGTTTGCTCATTTCCCTCTATGCAGTCTAGCATCCCAAAACAGATTAGCATATCCATATTATGACTTATTATTGCAGCACAGACTGTAAGACATGGAATATCAGCAACAGAAGACAAATTTGCACTTTTAACAAAGTTGAATGTAAAAGAGTATAAATGAATACCTATCTTAACTTTTTATTTTAAAATGTGCATCTTGTTCCAAGCCTTGTGAATCCCATTTATTCTTTCCTATCTAGCTAAATAGCATGCTAAATATCAGATGCTAGACATCAAAACGTAAAAGGCCTTGGAACAGGCCTTCATCAATGATTAAAGTTTGTTCTTTTTTCAGCTTCAAGGTTCAGACACAGGAGTCTGTCCTGCTTTTGGTTCTGTTCTCTGGGACCCCAGGAAGGTACGTGCTGCCTCCTCTAGATCAAGCACATAAAAATTTCTATTTGAAAGAAGTTTGAAACCTGCTTTCAAGTGGTCTTCTTGTACTGTAAACCTGTCATGACAAAGTACAAGTCAATTGTTCCTCCCTATCATATAGACCAACAAAACAGCCTTGCAATGATGACAGGCCTGAAGGTAAAGTCTATAAAGGATGGGGAAAAATGCATAGGAAGACAGCTTTACTTAAAAAGAAAGAACATTTAAGGTAGATAAAATGACTATAGATTCAAGCTGCTGCTTCTGGCACCCCTGCCAATCCAGCCACGATACATCAGAGTCAGAATCAGATTCAAGTCTGCTCATGAGATTGCCT